GTTTGACACCTGTGCTTTACATTGACAACAGTAATCGAATTATTTGCCAATGAGAAAGATTGAGCTCAAGCGCATATAGCGATAGACTGATTTCACACGGCTGTCATTTTAAAAGCGAAAGCGAGGCTCAGTGAGAAGAAACCCGAAGTATCGTATGGAGTCACACAGGAAATGTCAGTTTAACAAAATGTATTGCTGTTTGAAAACGGTATATCAATGTAGGTGTGTAGTGAATTTGCAGTTGCCTCTTAGATGTAATAACCTCAGACAAGTTCCGAAACTGTCACTAAAATATCTGTGATTGTGAACAAGGTCAAATTAATTTGTTAAAATAATGGAGAAGCAGATCGGTTTGACTGTACACTGGAAATACCTCACTCTCCCGGTGCTAAATCTTTTTTCCCTCGGTATGCAGAGGAGTGATCTGCGGGTGGGAGAGACTGCTGTACGAGGACTGGGCTGCCTGTCAGTGCTCTGATGCTGGGGAGGGGCATCAACCGTAGCACTTGAGAAGTGTAGGGACGGTACATGGGCATGTGAGAGTCTATACAAAATCTCCAGTAACACAAAAAAGTCGCTAGATTTGTTGCTTTTTTGAAAACTTGTCGTTTAGGGGGTCTGAAAAGTCGCTAAATACAGCGACAAAGTTGCTAAGCTGGCAACACTGACCACATAAAATAAGCGGATATCGTATTGAAGCGGGTGGGATTTGTGAGATACAAGAGAGCATTTGATTGGTCCAAAGATTTGATGAAGTGACATCTAACAATTGTTGATCCAATTAGATAGAAGTGACAAACTGCAAGTTTTAATGTTTGTATCTCCTAAAATGTTAATTTTGTCAATGTTTTTGAAGCATAGACTGGCACATACAGTAGATATTCTTAAAATGATAGTTTACTGAAACTCTGATCATTTAGGGTGCTTTCACACCTGTGAAACCTGTGAACACCACCGAAACAGCGTCAGAGTTTCACGGTTTCACAGAAGTCCCGGTCAGCTGTCACATACTTTTATTTTAATTTTTGACTATGAGCAATGAGACAATATTAGCGAAAATCTGCGCTTCAATTTTGAATGGTGACACCCACAGATGTCCTCACTTAATGTAGATCAGAGGTTAGGCTTTCTTATACATAGCAGTTGGCTTGTGCATTATAGAGAGAAATAACAGATAAACTACCTGCAGTTCGGTCAATTTTCCTAACGGATAAACAGCTCTCGTTAATAGTTCAGCATGCTTTCACTTTCGTATTTTACATGAAACACACATTTACCGTTAGGAATGACCTCCTGCCCTACTCATAATTCTCTCCTCATATAGCCGTATATATGCCTATGACATATCCATGATACACAGTGATATAGCCTGGCTCGGATTGTATCGCTTTCTCACTACAATCGATCCGCTCAAGAGTTCGTTTCAATCGAGCCGAGAACACCTCATTCAGGTGATCTTGGACTGATTGTTTTGGCGTGGATCTGAGCGCGATTGCTGGTTTCACATATGCCAAACGGATCGCGCTAATTGGGCAAACGAGACTAGGTGTGAAAGCACCCTTAGCCTTTTTTTTTTTTTTAAAGCTGAAAAAAAAGCTGCAGTCATTGATTTTAGCTTTTCCTACTATGGAAGTTAATAGTACAGGTTTTCAGCTTTCTTCAAAATATCCTCTTTAGTGTTTAAAAAGTAAAGATATATAGTCTTTAGTGTTTAAAACCTCCCATAGAGGTTTGGAACCTCTTGATGGTGCGTAAATAAATACATTTTCATTTTTTGGGTGAACTACCTCTTCAAGACTAACACAAACATAAAAAAAACTTTATTTTGATTTCTTGTAGACTTTAAACCACATCTAACATTGCACAGGCTCTGAATGAGAGCCTCGAGTGTGAATGCTATTACCCACAATTCTCACTGTTTTCATTTCTTATGAAACCTTCTGAAATCAATGAAACATGCTGGCTGGTGAGTCTGTGCATGCTGTGCTTTAGGCCTGTCACTTTCAATACCTCAGTATAAAAATATCAGACGGTGACTGCTAAGTTAAACTGACAAATAACAAGACTGCTCTTCAGCATGGCCTTATAACACCCAGCGTAATGCCTTCATCTCTTCTCTAGGACCATTTTTTGATTTTTTGAGCCGAAATTAATGGTGATTTTACACATTTACATCGCTGCTACCCCCTGGTGGCTAACAGTGGTATGACAATAATACACAGGCTAGCGATGGGTTAAAGAGATAATTCGCCCAAAAATGAACATTCCGTCATAATTTACTCATTCTCTGCTTGTTTTAAACTAGTTTGAGTTTCTTTTTTTATGTTGATCACAAATAAAGATTTACTAAAGAATGTTTAGGGGCAAAAACAGCTTCTGACTTCCGTAGTATTTTTGGTTTCTACTATAGAAATCAATGGCTGTTTCATTCTACAGAAGATAGAAACTCATTCATTCATTTTCTTTTCGGTTCAGTCCATTTATTAATCGGTGGTCATCACAGCGGAATGAACCACCAAGATAGAAAATCATAAATGTTTAAAACAACTTGTGAATAGGTGGAAATTTATTTGAATTATCACTTTTAAATCTGCTGTTTGATATTTAAGAAGCTATATAAAGCTGTAAAAATATATGAACCTATATCAAACCTATATCAAATATATATATATATATATATATATATATATATATATATATATATATATATATATATATATATATATATAGGTAGTGCTGTCGCCTCACAGCAAGAAAGTCGCTGGTTCGATCCTCGGCTCAGTTAACGTTGGAGTTTGCATGTTCTCCGTGGGTTTCCTCCTGGTGCTCCGGTTTCCTCCACAGTCCAAAGACATGCGGTACAGGTGAATTGGGTTGGCTAAATTGTCCGTAGTATATGAGTGTGTGTGTGAATGAGTGTGTGGATGTTTACCTAAGATGGTTTGCAGCTGGATAAGCTGATGGTTTATTCCGGGCGACCCCGGATTAAAAAAGGGACTAAGCCAACAAGAAAATGAATGAATGAATGAATGAATTTTTCTACATGGGACATAAAGAAATGAAACTAATAAACTAAGGGAGACATTTTGAATGTACACTTTAAAAAATATTGTTTAGACCAAACCAAAAAAATTAAACAGAACAGTTTACATCAATATATTAAAGTTACAACAACATCTAACAAAATTAAGTTCAGACAACAAACCTTATTATGTTAGCCAAATGGCCTTTTCCTCTTCAATCAGTGGCACTTTTACATAGCATAAACTCTATTTTTTAAAAAGTTTCGACTACTTTTTTAAAATCAAAATGTAAAATCAATCCAGTGTTACGTACTTAATTCCCATAATTATAAATGTAAGTTTTTAAGTTTAGAGGCTCAAATAAATTAAATAGCTGAAATTGTTAATTGAATGTTTTCAAATTTACTGTTCATTTAGTTGCTTGTAACAAACACATTCAACAACAACATTTTTGTTTTCCAGTATTTTATTATTTGTTTTAAACCACAGTCTTTCAGTATTTTACAAAACAAAAATATGTACTGTCTCATATAAACAGTATGAAAAAAACAAAAACAAAAACAAAAACATCAGCATGTGGACTTAAAAATACAAAACAACATAAAGAGCACAATCTACTCTGAAATAAGTCAAGACTTAAGAAAATAATGTTTTTGAGATGCATTACTTTTCCACTGGGCTTCAGTCCATTAAGTTTGAGAAACAAACTTTACAAGTATATTTAAGTTCCTTGAGGTAGTTCAGATTCAGAGTGTATATCATGCCCATCAGCAGACCACAGCACCTTCAGATATCCATTCCATTTAGGATTCTCATGCCCTTAACTATGGTTTCCATCTTGCGGTTCGATTCCAAAGTAGACTGATTACCAATAATGTAAATTGTCATTACTTGCCTCCTCATTAAGGTCTTCCTCATTAAGGTCCTGCATGCATCCTCATTAAGGTCGTCCTCAAATTCTTGTGTATTCTTGTAAAGCAAAAAAAAAAACTTTTTTGAGTCAAAAAACACTGCTAACGTCAACTGTATTTACCAGGAGTAGCCAACACTCTAGTGGAATGGAGAAAATTGATTTGGAAGTTAAATAAAATTCTGATATCTCACTTTAAAATGTCCTTTGTGCCAAACAGTCTAAACTATGCCTAAAACTTGTCCAGACTTGCTCGACTTCTTGTTCAGAGGGGGAGGAGCTTTGAAATCCAGAACCAAATCCAGAAAAGTTGAATTATCAACCCAATTTCTTTGGGTTGCCACTAGTTAAATATTGTTTCAAACTAACTGACAGACATATTTAGCCTTAAATTAGCTGCATTTTTTAGTTGATGTAATTAAAAATAATTTCTTGTTGTAAAAACTTAATCAAATTATTCTAACAAATTATTCAGACCTCTTGAGTTATTTTTTAGAGTGTAATGTTAGATCAAATTCACAACTGATACATTAATTACCATGTGTGCAACCAAAAATACCACAGTAAAAAAGTCTGGTTAGTTATTTCAGCGTACAGGAAGACATGACGCTGGTGTATGTCTAATGATCCGCCATTATGGGAAGCGCCACCTGGTGGCGGCTGGGTGTACTGTAGCCAAAGCGGTTATCTGCAGTCAGTGTGGAAAACTGATTAATTAAATCAGATCTTTTGTAAATTTAGGTACATATCTTGGCACCTGAGTATGTATCGCGGTCAGAAATAACACTTTAAATGGGCATATATTTTGTCCCAACTCTAATCCACAACTCAACAAACTAAAACGAAAGTCACACAATAATTTCAAGCACTCTTGGGGGCCCCCTGGTGGCCACGGGGCCCTAAACAGCCGCTTAGTTCGCTTATGCCTTGGGCCGGCTCTGCAGGAAGTCATCAAAACCAGACCAGATCCCTACAGTAGATATTTAATTGCTGTACTGTCAGTGAAAGACAAGTGTATATGTTGTTTATCATGTGTCATATTGTGTATTTGTGTGTATTTTGTACAGTTATCCTGCAGTGTGTGAGTTTTTACAGACCAACAACTTGCTGTCGGTCATCAGAGCACATGAGGCGCAGGACGCGGGGTAAGAAAACATCACCTTTGACCCTTTTATGTCATTCCATGTGACTTCTATTTTTTCTCCAGCGCTCTTTCGCTTTCTTCAGAGTGACAGATGCCTCACAAACACACAAAGAGGATGTGTGCATATTCACAGGCTGTTGTTGACGGACAATCAGTGCGCAGATACAGCTGACAGACAGATATTGATTCTCCATAATCCACGTTCATTACAGTGCGGTAGCCTGAAATGCCACCGATTCACATACATTCCCTTCTGCCCAAGCAATTCTATCTGCCTTTGTCTAACGCAGAGCGTGGCTAATTAATAAATCAACTAAACAGCAGTCGATAATGCAGCACAATACTACAAAACAATAATAGCACAGCAGTCGACAACAGAAAGCATGCTTACTGAGTAAATTAGCTCATGGTCTAATACTAATAATATCCATTATGTGTATTCCTCTCGTTTTTCATTGGGATTAATTGATTGTCTTTTTCTTGCTTTCTCAGTTACCGCATGTACAGGAAGAGTCAGACTACAGGTTTCCCTTCTCTCATCACCATCTTCTCGGCTCCAAACTACTTGGACGTTTACAACAACAAAGGTCTGAGTTATTATTTTAGTGCAGCATGTGTACTTTATTATGTCGGAACTGAATTGCATAATGACAATATTACAATATAATATGATAATTTTTTTCCCATCTCATTATGACACAACTTTGTCATAGTATTAGCGAAATTTAAATTTTTTGTCAAATAGTTCTGTTTAAGGGACATTTTTAAAAATGTTTGTTTTAAACATAATAGTTTTGATAGCTGATTTTTAATAGCAAATTTTTCTTATTTATTTATTTCTTTATTATTTTCATTATATTATGCAAGAGGTACACAAATTGAGATCACAAAAGACTTGGGCAACATTGTTAAATAGGATTTAAATAAATAGCTAATAGCTTAAATCATTAAATAATAGCTAATTAAAAAAAACTTAAATGGGCTAATAATATTGACTTTAAATTTAAAAAAATAAATAAATAAAATTAAATGTAAAAACTGCTTTTTATCCAGTCAAACTAAAATAAAAAAATTATAATGACAATAATTAGTAAATCATTAAAAATAACACACATTAATGTTATAATATAGTGTTATAGTTCTAATTATTGATACAATGTATTTATTTTTATTTATAATATATACAGATAATTATTTAGATTATATACAATAATAATATTATTGTTATATCAACTGATATTCCTAAAAGGTCTCTAAAGGATCATTACACTGTTTTTAAAAATGGGCTCATTTTACAGCTCCTCAGTTATGCCTCATTCACACTAGCTGCGACTTTGTAGCTGCCTGTCGCTCTGGGGTGCGTTTCCCAAAACCATCCATAGCCAACTAAGATTGCAAGTTCCGTCGTTACAAAACATATTTTGTTGGTTTGCCGTTTCCCAAATCCGTCGCTCCAACGAACATTCGCAAACTGTGTCGCAAACTTGAGCACTTGAAACTACACCTCTGGAGCTGTAGTTAGAAACATAGTTCCTGGCTGTGTTCTATTCCCACTTATCCCCCTATGCCCTATTCATTTAGAACATTCTAACATTCAAAGTTGAAATTATTAAAAATAAAAAAAGCATCAAGGTCACCTCTCTTAGTTGTAATTTGCTTTCAAACAATTTTTACGGTTCAGTTTTAGCGATCTTCATCTACGGAGTAAATCAACGAGCTATGTTTACAATTGTGCTCCCTTCGCAGTGCACTCTAAAAAGATTGATATCATTTTGAACACAGCCTCATGGCGAAAGCTATAGGGGACCTATTATTTAAAAGTGAAATTTATGTTACGTCTCCAAAGCTTGTGAAAACAAAAAACATAACATACGTTAATGCTTTTAATTTATAGTAGTTCATTTATTAAGTATCTGTACCAATTACTGTATGATCTGTTCTGTATATGACATGGGCCTGCTGGTTAGAACTTTCTGCAGTGGTTTGCTTGTGTCAAATTGTAAAAGTAGACTTAAATAAATAAATAAATAAATAAATAAATAAATAAATAAATAAATAAACAATATCCTACTTAATAACAATAATAATAATAATAATAATAATGGATATTATTAATATTATTATTAAAGTAAATATATTTATAATAAATAGCCTCATTATTTATTTATATGAGTTATATATATTATTAGAATAAGTAAGTGTATGCTTTTGTAAGTGATATGTTTAGAACAGAATATGTAATGTTCATCTTCTCAATAATATTAGTAAAGCAAACATAGGCCCTATACTGTATGTGCCATTTACATATATTTCAGTAAATATGGAAAGCAAGTGCATGTTTTTACTAAAACTAATATTGGATTTTATTTTAAATGCGTGTTTGTGTAAAACAATATAATTTGCACAAAGAAATAATGGTGTTCTTCTCTAAAGAAGTAGTTACTCCACCCCGTTTAGAGCATCATTATGGGCGCTTTACGCTACAACTAACGTGGTTCGAGCGTTGGAATCTGCGACAGAGAAACTACAGGTTATGGGAAACACTCTTCACTACATCGTTCTTTTCCCAAATGCATCGTACTATGATTGTTCAGCTGCGAGTTACACCATTGTTTGGGACCCCTGGGGTGCGTTTCAGAGAACCATCATTAGCCAACTAAGGTCGCAAGTTATGTTGTTACAAACATAGTTTGTTCATTTAGTGTTTTCCAAATCGGTCTTTCCAACTAACATTCGCAAACTGCGTCGCAAACTTGTACGCTTGTAACCACACCTCTAGAGCTGTAGTTAGAACCATAGTTCCTGGTTGGGTTCTATTCCCCGTTATCCCCCATGCACTATTCATTTAGAATGTTTCAACATTTAAACTCGGAATGACTTTAAAAAAGACATTAAAGTCATCTCTCTTAGGTGTAGTTTGCTTTCAAAGTATTTTTACAGTTTAGTTTTAGTGATCTTCATATTGGCAATAATATTGCGTCCCCTTTGTAGTGCACTTTGAAAACATTTGACATTTTGAATGCAGCTCATAAAAAAGCTATAGGTGACCTATTATTTAAAAGTGGAATTTACATTACACCTCCAAAGCTTGTGAAAACAATATTATACAGCATATGTTAGTGCTTTTAAATTATAGTAGGTTATTTATTATGAAAATTATCTGTACTGTGTATGTGAATGGGCCTGTTGGTTAAAACATTTCTGCAATGTGTTAAATTGTAAAAGTAGACTTTTCAAAAAATGTATAAAAAATAAAATAATTTATAAACAATATCCTATTTAATAATAATAAAATAATGATGATGATAATAATAATATTTTCTTAATAAATAGCCTACTGTAAATTACTGCCATAAACAATTAATGTGATTTTTATATGGTATTAGAGTGTTAGCTAAGTAGATTTATGTTTAGCATAGAATATTGAATATACTCAATAATATTTGTATAGGAAACGTAGGCCCTATATGTGCCGTTTACATATATTTCAGTTAATAAAGACTAAAACTAGTATTGGATTTTTTTTTAAGTGTATTAAGAGTGTGCGTGTAAACCAATATAATTTTATACAAAAAATAAAAATAAAAATTTCTAAAGAAGTAGTTACTCCAGCTCGTTTAAAACATCATTATGGAGGTTTTACGTTATAACTAAAGTGGTTCAAATGATGGATCTGCGACAGAGAGACTACGGTTTTGGGGAAACACTGGTCACTACATCCTTCATTTTCCAAGCGATGCATCATACTATGATAGTTCAGCCACTAGTTATGTTGTTGTTTGGGAAACGCACCCCTGGGTGGCGACCTGCAGTATTCGCGGGTATGTGTGTCTACAGCACGAAGAATACAACCAGCCTCTGCGGGAGCTGAGAGAGGATCACATGAGCTCTACTGGTGCTCCTACTGGCTGTTGTTCCATAAAGTTGCTCTTCATTTGCATAAAGTTGAAGGATTGTCAACTTTGTCACATGGCTTGACACACCCACCTGGTCGCCAACAGTCGTTCACGTAGGCGGAGGTTGCCGGAAGTCGCTCGCTCTGCGTTGAATTGAATGGTCTCTTGTCGCTTTGACACAGGAAGTTGCTCATAGTGTGAATGAGCCTTTAAACCATTCAGTTGCCGTATATAATATATATATATATATATATATATATATATATATATATATATATATAATCTATGCTAGTGTTTCACAATCACATTGCCAAAGGACCTCTATCTCCTTTGTTTGTCACACACATTACAGGTCTTTCAGTCTCTACTAATGAGCTGTTGATATGAATCAGGTGGGTTTGGTTAAGGAAACATGGAAAATTTGCAGATCTGGAAGTCCTCCAGGAACGTGGTTGAGAAACACTGATCTAAGCTAAGCTAAGCTAAAAGTGCCACCACCAGACCCATAGATCAGCTAAATGGGTAATAAAAAGGTACACCTCAACTGTTAAACTCTATTAGGAGCTATAAAAAGAGCCTATTTTCCAAAAAAAAAGTATAGTGTTCATTTAATTTCATATATTCAAAATATAATTCTTGATCTTTGCTAAACTATGACCCAGATATCTTCTTGATAGCTTTGCAGTAAACCTGTTTTGTGAGATTTTTTAAAAATGCACAAACCCTATGTAACAATATTGCGCATGACAAGCATGTGTGAACAAGAGAAAGATACAGATGTTCATAACCGAAACAGACATATACATACGCTCTTATTAAACATGTTTGTATTTGTGTGAGTAAAACCGCCCTATTGCCTCTCCACAGCGGCTGTGCTTAAATATGAAAACAACGTAATGAACATCCGACAGTTCAACTGCTCGCCTCACCCGTACTGGCTTCCCAACTTCATGGACGTCTTCACCTGGTCTCTTCCATTTGTTGGAGAGAAAGGTGGGGAAATCACAGGAAAAGTGTTGCTAAACATCTTTGAAATGTGTCTTATATATACGCTAAAGTTAAAATTTGTTATTTGTACAACTGTGCCATTTCATTTGCATTAACAACACTCAAAAAAATGACTGCTTGTTGAAACCATTATTTAAAATGAGTTAAGACAACACAATAACAAGTTTTGTTTAGGACAACTTACTTGTTTTATGTGAAACCACTTAAATTTGTAAAAACGATTAAGTTAATTTAATCAATTTGTGTTGGGAAAGCATGAAGGAATTGTGTATAATCCAGCATTTTTTACAGTAAAAATGCTGGATTCTACACAATCAATTTGTGTTGGGACAACATGAAGAAATTAAGTTAACTTATAAGTGTTTACAAATTTAAATGGATTGAACATAAAACAATTAAGTTGTCCCCAATTCTTGATATATATTTGACCAATGTATTTGTTTTATGTTCAGTTCACCTAAATTTAAAACCATTAAGTCAACTTAAGCTTTTTGTGTTGGGACAACATGAAGGAATTGTGTTGGTCCAACTACCTGGATTTGTAGTTACCAGCATGCTTTGTGTGGGATTGAATTAAGAGAGGGAGTTTTCGACAGATAAAGTAATCTTAGAAGTTTAAAGATAATAGAAAAACTTGTTAGAGTTTAATCGTCTTTAGTTTGAAGATTTCCGTGTCATGCTTTGAGTTTTGAGATCAGAAGCACCCATGTTTTGGGTGTTTGCCGCTTAATTAGCCAAAAATGCAGTTTATTGCTTTGTTGAGCGAGCAATAACTATCCTAAAATGTGTTCTGAGATCAGTCTCAATCAACTGTATGTGTAACTCATGAAATATGCTTAAAAAGGCTCTTTTAGTTCATTTATGATTCCTTCTAATAAAACTTCAAAGAGACTTCAAAATGTACGACACATAATAGACATACATGATATTATCAGACCTTTAAATTTGAGTAAAATAAAAATACAAATGTATTTAAACTTTCGTTTGATAAAATCATGTTGGACCAACTCAATTGCATTTTTTTTTGTTGTTGGTGCTAAACAAATTTATTGAATGGAAATCCAGCCCTCAATTAAATTGAGTTCATTCAATGAGTTACATTTTTTTGAATGTTTGAACAAACAACAAACTTTCTTTTTTGAGTGAATGTTGTAAACACTATAATATACACTCACCGGCCACTCACTGGTACCAGTACTGAGTTGGAGCGCCTTTTGCCTTTAGCAACTGCCTTAATACTTCATAGCATAGATTCAACAAGTTACTGAAAATATTTATTAGAGATTTTGCTCCATATTGACATGATAGCATCACACAGTTGCTGCAGATTTGTCAGCTGCACATCCATGATGCGAATCTCTCCTTCCACCACATCCCAAAGGTGCTCTATTGGATTGAGATCTGGTGGCAGTGGAGGCCATATGAGTACAGTGAACTCATTGTCATGTTCAAGAAACCAGTCTGAGGTGATTTGCGCTTTATGACATGGCAGGTTTTCCTGTGGAAGTAGTCATCAGAAGATGGGTATACTGTTTTCAAAAAGGGGTGGACATGGTCAGCAACAATACTCAGGTAGTCTGTGGTGTTGACACAATGCTCAATTGGTACTAATGGGCCCAAAGTGTGCCAAGAAATTATCCCCCACACTATTATACCACCACCACCAGCCTTAACGGTTGATACAAGGCAGGAATTTCTAACCCTACCATCTGAATGTCGCATCAGAAATCCAGACTCTCAGATCAGACAACGTTTTTCTAATCTTCTATTGTCCAGTTTTAGTGAGCCTGTGTGAATTGTAGCCGCAGTTTCCTGTTCTTAGCTGATAGGAGGAGCACCTGGTGTGGTAATCGGCTGCTGTAGCCCATCTGCCTCAAGGTTGGATGTGTTGTGCATTTAGAGATGCTCTTCTGCATACCTCGGTTGTAACGAGTGCTTATTTGAGTTACTGTTGCCTTTCTAACGGCTCGAACCAGTCTGGTCATTCTCCTCTGACATCCGCCATCAACAAGGCATTTGCGCAGAACTGATATTTTCTCTTTTTCTGGCTAATATCTGTAAACCCTAGAGATGGTTGTGCGTGAAAATCCCAGTAGATCAGCAGTCTCTGAAATACCCAGACCAGCCCATCTGGCACCAACAACCATGCCACGTTCAAAGACACTTAAATCACCTTTCTTTCCATTCTGATGCTTGGTTTGAACTACAGCAGATCGTCTTGACCATGTTTACATGCCTACATGCATTGAGTTGCTGCCATGTGATTGGTTGATTAGAAATTTGCGTTAACGAGCTGTTAGACAGGTGTACCTAATAAAGTGGCCGGTAAGTGTACGCAGTATAATACACTTTACTATAGAATGTATCCAAAACACTGCAGTATTTACTATAATTACTATATTATTTTGGATCGAATAGAATATTTAATAATCAAATAAATCAATTATTTCAGTTTCTCCACTGAAAGTGCTTTAATGAAAATGTTCAAGATGCTAAAATGTTAAGATATCTCCTCCACAGTGACAGAGATGTTGGTGAATGTCCTCAGCATCTGCTCTGACGATGAGCTTATGAACGACGGAGATGAGATCTTTGATGGTGAGAACGTTTTCAAAAACTCACTTGTCAAATCTTTACATAAAAATTCTTATTATTATATATCTTTTTTTTCCTTAATTGTGACCAAATGATAACAAGGTGAATAATTCAATGACTTTCAGTTTAGCAAGTGGAGTCATAAAATATTGATTTGCTCAAAGAGAGTACTGTCTTCTTGTTGTGCAGAATATTCAGCTTCAGTATGTTGTTTATGAAATTCAAGCCTGTTTTTCTGGTTCGTCTCAGCTAATGCTGCGGCCGCCCGTAAAGAGGTCATCAGAAACAAGATCCGTGCCATCGGCAAAATGGCCAAAATGTTCTCAGTCCTACGGTGAGTATGGAAAGAGGTTGGGAACACATGTTTGTGGTTTGGATGTTTACAGCAATATGCTTAAAGCAATATGTGTTTTAGTGCGGTGTGAGGCTAAAAAAATCATACATTCAACCTAAAATAAAAGCAGAAAAAATTTGCAGAAAAAAATCACTCCAAAAATACAAATATGACATGATCCAGTTATTTACTAGCCAATTCAAATATTAATAAACATGTAAATAGCATGTAAATAATGCTAAAATATTACTGGCAAACTTTAAAAGTGAAAACTAGTTAATTTTCATAACAGTACCCCTATATTGCAGTTTTATTGTAGTAGCAAATGATTTTAATAATAACTGTGGTAAGCTATTTTATTATTATTTGGATGTAAAAAATACACCAAACTTGGAGCCACTTTTAAAGATACCTTAAGTTAGCTCTGCTTTTAACCAAGCAGCCGAAGGTGAGCAAACACACACTATACCACAGTCATGTCTTTGAAATATACATGTTTTGAATGTTTAAACATCTTTGTCCAATGTCCACATGCTGTATTATTGTTAATATACAGTTGAAGTCAGAATTTTTTTTTTAAATATAACAGAGCAAGGAAATTTTCACAGTATGTCTGATAATATTATTTCTTCTGGAGAAAGTCTTATTTGTTTTATTTTGGCTAGAATAAAAGCAGTTTTTAATTTTTAAAAACAATTTTAAAGTCAAAATTATTAGTCCCTTTAAGCTATAATTTTTTCGATAGTTTACAGAACAAACCACTGTCATACAATAACGTGGCTAATTACCCTAACCTGCCTAGTTAACCTAATTAACCTAGTTGAACCTTTAAATGTCACTTTAAGCTGTCTAAAAGTGTCTTGAAAAATATCTAGTAAAATATTTTTTACTGTCATCCTGACAAAGATAAAATAAATCAGTTATTAGAAATGAGTTATTAAAACTATTATGTTATTTAAAAGACTATCGATTTCGTGTGGTCATATTACCGCAGATGGACAAGCTGTTATTAAAGCGGGTTGCATGCTGTGATTGTCCAGTTTATGTCATCAACCTCATAATAACCATGCAAATATGAATGCAAAGTAGCCTATGCGGGTTTACAACTATGCGGTATAAAATAAACTTATTGAAGAAACAAGATTACTTAATCTACATCCACCCAGTTCAAGCTATCTATCACTCGCAAAGCCAAGCAGGATGTGTTGACAACATAAATCATGTGGTATAGCCTAAACATGCTAACAATTTGCTAAAGTATGCTAAAATCCTACATAGTTAATAAAATACTATTGTTTTTGAACCACACTGTTGTAAAATACTTGAATTAATATGTTGTGCTAATTCAGTAGCTAGTTGCTATGGTAGGCTACCACAAAAACTATAGTAATATAAACTAATTACCCAATATTGTAGTTTTCTGTAACTATAGGGTATGTTATAAAACAATATACCACATTTAACTGTAGTTAAAAACTAATGTAAAGTATCATAGTTCTCATTAGTTCACTATATTCATGCTGTAGCCTTCATTAACAAAGATTATAATAGTATATAAAATGTTATACACTTTACTATAGTATAATTCAAAAACATTAAATATATTTACTATAGTGTTTTGGTAATGCTTTATTTTTAGAGTCCATTTGAGTATTAGTAGACTGCTTAATATATTTTGATACTGCTTCTTTAACAGATATTTAACTGACTATAAGAAACTTTGCAAGTACATGTCAACTTACACTAACCCTAAACCCAACCTAACAGTCTACTTATAATTTAATGAGAATTAGTTGCATGTAGATGCAATGTAACTTAGATTCAACAAACAGATTTTTCATCTGGGATGGGATAAAACATGTTAACATTAAATAATGTAAAGTTATTAATAGCATATGTAAACATGGTAGTAACATCCCAATTATTGCTACTAAAAAAAACAACAGCTAAAATGTGTTTGAAATCACATAATGCTAATTCAAGTTAGCAGCAGTTAAACCTGTCAAAGGCATGTCAATATGCTAAACATGCTAGCAACATACTAAACAGCAAATGCTAATTAATGCTAACATCATGGTAGCAGCATGATAATATAAATTTTTACTACAGTATTTTTAATCAAAAACATATTAACATTTAAAAATGTATAGGCTAAAGATAAGCTAACTACTTGCTAATTTATGCAAGCAACAGTTTATTGATAGCATATGTAAACATGGTAATAACATGCTAATTAATGCTACTATTATTTGATAACCCTTCTAAAAAATCCAGCTTAAACCAGCCTAGGCTGGTTGGCTGGTCGACCAGGCTGGTTTTAGAGGGGTTTTGGCCACTTTCAGGCTGGTTTCCAGCCATTTCCAGCCTGGTCTTAACTGGTCAGGCTGGAAAATGACCAGCTAAATCCAGCAAAAACCAGCTTGACCAGCCTGGTTTAAGCTGGACATAGCTGGTTTTGGCTGGGCTCCCAGCCTGCTAGGCTGGTCAAGCTGGTTTTAGCTGGTCATCTCCCAACCTAACCAGCTAAGACCAGGCTGGAAATGGCTGGAAACCAGCCTGGAAGTGGCCAAAACCCCTCTAAAACCAGCCTGGTTGACCAGCTAAAACCAGCCAACCAGCCTAGGCTGGTTTAAGCTGGATTTTTCAGCAGGGAATTCGGTCGTTTATTTCACTGATTTGGCAACCGTCAAACGTCATCATGGAAACGGTTTGAATTTCCGCTTAGTAAAGAAACATTAGTGTGCCATTTAGGACGCCACTACATACATATACCCTATTGAGTGTGTAAGTGCAGAAGTACATAGTGCATGAGTGCATAGTGTATAGTGTGCCATTTGGGACCAGTGGTTGTTTGGATTTGCAAATAATGGTCACTTGTTTTGTGCAAATTCAGTTCTTAAATACTGGATTTGAAATATTGAAATGTTTCAATTGAAGATATTGAGTGTGACAAGTACAGTTTTTCTATTTGTTTGGCATGTACAGGTGTTAAATCTCAATATTTTTCACAAAAACATGTGTGTAATACTTTTAGTTAGCTCTAACTTTTCATTAACATTTCATTGTGTTTTGTCAGAGAGGAAAGTGAGAATGTGTTGACCCTGAAAGGTCTGACCCCGACCGGGATGCTACCAAGTGGCGTTCTGTCTGGAGGAAAACAGACCTTGCAGAGCGGTGAGTTACAAACGCAAACACCACACATTCTCTCTCTCATCACAGCCTCTTTTCTCTTCAAAGCCATTAAAACAAAGCCTTACAGAGCCACGGACATGTCTGCTAACCCTTTTCTTTTATTGAAACACTTGTGTTCATTCTCTTCGCTAATGTAACCATCTGAAATGTGCAGACACGAACACATACAGGAACACTAACCGGCTAACGCTAACTGCTAATTGTCCACAGCAGCTACTTGGCAGCTAATGCTGGGGGATTGTGCTGCGTGCATGACTGTCACAATAAACTCCCCCATCCATCCTCCCTCTCTCCCTCTCTCCTTCTCTCCGTCTGTCTTTCTGTGCCTCCTCAGCTACCATCGAGGCCATTGAAGCTGTCGAGGAGGTTAAGGATGGAGAAGGTAAACTGGCCGGCCTCAATCTGTCTCTGTGCTGCTCAGAGGTTTCATAGGGACCCTGAAACACGCTAGCTAGCTAGACAGCGCAGCCTAGCTAACTGAGCGTGTGGGGGTGCTATGACTGGTCAGGAATTGTGTGTTTCACACACCAATACACATACTGCACACACACATTTATCCACATATCTAAATGAGGACATTTTTATATTGTTTATGGAAAAAAATAATTTTTTTAAAGGGAAGAATTAGTTATTGAAAAACAACAGTGTAGAGGTTTTTAAGGTTACAAAAATAATGTTTCAAATAAATAGATGCTGTTTATTTAAACATACTCTCGTGTAATAGTTCTACTAAAATAATAAAAAGTATTAAGAAGCCTTAGTGAGTATAAGATACATTCCTGGAGATCGACAATTATATACCCTGAGCTACGTATGGCTGCATTTTGTCTTTAAAATGAACCCTACAGGGTGGTATGACGCCATGCCTTTTTGCGCTAGCAGCTGACTGGTAAGCAGGTAAGACAAAAACAGAAGCAAAAAAAATTAAATAAACAAGTAAATAACAGGGTGAGAATGTGGTAAAATGTGAAATTGTGGTAAAAATCAGGCAACAGCTTTTCTTTTCAACACTGTTCTTTTGGTTTAAGGAAGAGGGAGTCAGTCAGTCAGTCAGTCAGTGGACAGCGGCCTCTGGTGGATTTATGCCAGAACATCAAGCATGAGTGGCACTCGTGAGAGAAATTTGAGATCTGAAAAACGTAGCTCCTGGGACGTAATTGGAGCTCTCCAGAAATGTATATAGGGGTACATAATCAGAATGAGCCTGGGTTGGTAGATAAGGCTTTATTCAAAAACAATATTTTTGCAGTGTATAATGTTAGGGCTGCATAATATTGGAAAAATCAGGCTTTATTTATATTTTTTATTTTCTTGTGATTCTGTATATATATATATATATATATATATATATATATATATATATATATATATATATATATATATATATATATATATATATATATATATATATATATATAATTTATTTAAAAAATATTTCCCAAGTGATATTTAACAGATCAGTAGTTTCTATAATATTTTTTCTTCTGTGGTAAGTCGTTTTTATTTTAGTTTGGCTGAAATCAAATGATTTATCTTTTAATAACTAATTGAGGGACAATATTGTTAGAATCTTGAGAATTATTTATTTACAGAACAAACCACTGTTTTTCAATAACTTTCCTAATAATCCTAACTTACCTATTTAACATAATATTCTAGTAATTCTTTAAATTGCATTTTAAGCTACATTATCTTGCAAAACAGCCAGTAAATAATATGTCATCATGGTAAGTACAAAATTAATTAGAAATTAGTTTTTACTTCACACGTATCACCTGAATAGTTCTATTTGACCACATAAATATGTCTGGGATATTTATTCAACAGTTTGACATCGTAAGTGTGTAAATAAAATGTAAAAACCACATAGTGTCTCATCCTTTTGTGCTGTCTTATGACGTATGAATGACTTATGCTGTCAAACTGTTGTATAAATGCAATATTACACTTAGCACTGCTTATCATTGCGATATGGCTGTATATCAGCACTGCTGTGATTAAATCACATAATGCTAATATGCAGTCATATTGCTATGAATCTCGTGTGATATTGCAAATATAACTTACATATTAATTAATATTAAGGGCTGTTTAAATAAGTAAGTATTGACATATATCGACACTACAGTACATGTGGTCATCCCTAGTTTTGGGCAAGTGTGAGTTTTGTAAACCTGCTAGACTTGCTTAAACCAGCCAATACAGTTAATAACCGCATAAAGCTAAAACCATATTAGATGTTAATTAGTTCCTGATGTCATCTAAATCAGCATATAAATGTAATCCTCTGTTAATAATTGATCATTTATTCAGAACAGTGTTTTATACAAATATACTGAATCTCAAATGCACACATAATTGGAATGTACATACACACACACACACACGCTCACACACCTGTGTCCTCCTGCTTCTGCAAATGCTGGATTCCGCTCTGCTGTTCTCAACGGCACACATTCTTACGTACCTGCTCAAGGTTACAGAATGACTCAGCAGACGGAAGAATCTGGGCCTCTTCACTGGTGACCCAGCATTCTTACAGCACCCCGTCCCCAAACGCTGATCACTCGCTCTGGGTGTGGTCTCTGATGACCATGTGATCTGCAGGGATCATGTGACCTCTCTGTGACACGGTTTGCTTTTTAGACTCCATCCAAACCCGCTTTACGGTTATATCTGGTAAACTGAATTGAAGGTCAACGAAGGTTTTGGAAGTTGAAATGCTATTTAAAAATGCATATAGAAGTATTGGGTTTTAGCTTATGAAATTGATCTGACAAGAGCTACTAGATATAAAAGCAAGGAAATGTGCTTCTTTTGTGCACCATCATTTCTTTGTGCAAATTATGTTGTTTTACACAAACACGCATTTAAAATAAATGATAATAATTATTTTTCCAATAATAGATTTGGTAAAAACATGCACCTGCTTTCCATATTAACTGAAATATATGTAAATGGCACATACAGGTCAATGTTTGCTTTACTAATATTATTGAGAAGTTGAACATTACATAATCTGTTCTAAAACATATGTCTTACAAAAAGCTAACACGTATTCTAATATCATATATAAATCATATAAATAAATGATGAGGCTATTTATTATAAAATGAAATGTAATATTTATTATTTATTAGAAGTGAAAAATCATACTTTAATAATAATATTAATAATATCAATGATGATATTATTATTATTATTATTATTATTATTAAGCAGGATATCGTTTATTTATTTTTATTTCTTTAAAGTCTACTTTTACAATTTGACACATGTAAACCACTGCAGAAAGTTCTAATCAGCAGGCCCATGTCATATACAGTACAGATCTTTAATAAATGACCCACTATAAATTGAAAGAATTAACGTATGCTTTTTGTTCTCACAAGCTTTTTCATAAATTCTGCTTTTAAATAATAGGTCACCTATAGCTTTCAACATGAGGCTGTGTTCAAAATGACATGTTCAAAGTGCACTGCGAAGGGAGCACAATTGTAAACATGAAGAAACTGAACTGTAAAAATAGTTTGAAAGCAAATTACACCTAAGAAAGATGACCTTAATGCTTTTTTATTTTTAATAATTCCAACTTTGAATGTTCGATTGTTCTAAATGAATAGGGCATAGGGGGATAAGTGGGAATAGAACACAGCCAGGAACTATGTTTCTAACTACAGCTCCAGAAGTGTAGTTGCGAGTGCTCAAGTTTGCGACGCAGTTTGCGAATGTTCGTTGGAGCGACGGATTTGGGAAACGGCAAATCAAAACTTTGTTTGTAACGACGGAACTTGCGACCTTAGTTGGCTAACGATGGTTTTGGGAAACGCATCCCTGGCATGTAACGCACGTTTTCAAAACAGAATATTTTTAGCATTGGTTTTTAGATAAACAAGGATGTTCACTTAGCATGTTTCTTAAATATCTGCAAACATAGAGTCAAAAACACATACAGCACCTTTAAGTTAAAAAAAATTTAACCACCAAAAACTATATATATATATATATATATATATATATATATATATATATAGTGATTTTTATCAGATTCCCCATAGAACTTTAATATTAATTATTTAATGAATATTTTGAATGATATTTTTTGATATTTTACCTCTTTTAGAAATTGTATTTGTTTTGTCATATTTCTTTCACTTTAATTTTAGCATTTCCATTCGTTGTTCAACAATTTTATTCTATGTCATAGTTGTTTTTAGCATTAATTTCTAATTAATTTCTCTGTCTGAAAGTGTTAGTAACTTTAGCACATCAACTTCAATTTGAAATGTAACTTATTTTATGTTAATTTGTATTATTTTTATATGAGAGTGTGTTTAACTAAAATTAATTTTACAACTTCTCCATTAAATTGTAACTACATTTAATTACATGTTGTAGTTAGGGTTAGGTTTAGGTCGGGGTTAATTACTAATAATAAATTGTTATTTCCATCGCAACCTTATGTCATATCTGTAATGGATATTGTAAATAAAGCGTATTTCTATATGTCTGTATCTTATATATTACGTTATTGACATATAAGGTGATGTATAGTTTCACATCAATACTCACAACTTTAATCATATTTTAGAATGCCTGTGGAGAATTTCAGTGGCTAAACAAACACTTCCAAAACTCTTTTCTCATCATTCAGGTGAGAAGTATTTGAAACCCAAAACCTCCTGCGTAAAGTCTGAAAGCAAACCCAAGAGAGGGTCTCACATCATCTCTGATTGTGATATAAGCCACTATGTTTCCATCAGAATGAATCAAAGTACATTAAAAAACGGTAAACCTTGCCTTGCTAAGAACTGTTGGTAAAGGGTTTGTTTTCTAATGGAAACATTGACTGTGTTGCTGGTCCTTGTGAGGTTTTTTCAGCTGATCTGGAGTGAACGTGATAAGATGTGATGTCCATTATCATCGCCACAGCTGTTTCCTTGTACACTGTAAACCGTGTGTGTGCGTGTGTGTTTGTCTGATAGTGTAATGTGCAGTGAATTTGTGCCTATAGTGACTATTAGATAGTGGAGTGGATCAATGGCGTGTTTGACGAGATGTCTGTATATCGGTGAAAATGAAAGATAGTACAGGTCACATTTCACTCCAAAAATCCAATATGTTGCACATAGTGTTAGTGTATATGTAATAAATAATCACAGTAAGCAACTATATTAGGTCTATATATGTATAATAATCCATTATACCAATTTTTTTTGTATATTTTGCGATTATTAAAAGTTGCTAATGGGAAAGTATAAGGTGTTTAAATTGACAATTAAAGGGCTAGTTCACCCAGAACTGAAAATTCTGTCATCATTTCCTCATCCTTCACTTGCCACAAACGTGTTTGAGTTTTTTTCTTCTGCTGAACACACAAAGAAGATATTTAAAAAAATGTTGTAAACCGGTAACGATAGTGTTTCCATAGTGCTTGATTTTTTTCTACTATGGATTTCAATAGTTACCGGTTTCTAACATGCTTCAAAATATCTTCAGATGAAAGAAAGTCATTAATATTTGGAGCCACTTAAGGGAGAGTAAATAGCATTTAACCCTTGGATGAAATTATGCTTTTTGGCACTTTTAATATGCCTTTTGAATTATAATATATAATTATGTAATTAATATATAATTATATATATATATATATATATATATATATATATATATATATATATATATATATATATATATATATATATATATATATATAGTTAAAAAATAATAATTTTAAGCGAAAGCGAGGCTGCGGTGGAAAGAAACCTGGAAGTATCGCCTGAAGTCATACAGGAACGGCGTCTGCGATGACTTTTTGTTGTGTACCTTGCTGTATGTCTTATCAGGGACATCAGACCTCATTTTCAGCTAAGTTAAGTGAAATGGCACTAGTTAGCTGTTAGATGTTTTCTTTTCCAAACACACGTTTTAGATGCTTTTTATCAAACTCAAGTTAATAAACTGACTCTTTTGCTATATTAGACTTGTCACGATACGAAATTTTGGTACTGAATTATATAAATAACGTGAATTTACCGCTAACATTTAAGTGCTGTTGAGTGCCTTCTTAATCAGTGCTGATTTGCAATAGTGTTCACCAGTGCTCAACAGAAATGACTGTGATTGGCCGTGAAGGTCATCACTGCACTTCACCACTATTAACCAAGTGCAAACACAGAGGAGTGATCTGCTGAAAACGCTCCAGTGTCTGTGTATCTGTGTATGCATTTGGTGAAGAGCGGTGAACTGATGACCTTCACGACCAATCACAGTCACTTCTTTTGAGAGCTGGTGAACATGTCAGCGCTGTTTAAGAACACGCTCAAATGTTAGCAGGATATGGACATCTTTAAAGGTTTAGTAGCGTGACAACACTATTACAGACAACACAAGTGGACTGCCTAATTTTTTCACTCACCAGGTCTTTGTTCTTGGTGCGGTTCGCTTTTACACTGCAAAGTTTCTAAACGGACCAAAAGATCTAAAACAAGTCACGTGTGAGTAAACTCTCCTCACGTTGGTCAGAGTGTCAGGGTTTATTTTGCAGAGTCCCGCTCAGCTGTCAGAAAAGATGGTGGTTTGGTGGTGTTTGACAAGGTGCACGCGATGTGTCTGAAGAGCGAGGAGAGATGCCGTGGGGAGGGGTGAGAAGGGTGCGCAACGTAATTGAGGACTGGGAGGGAGAAGCGCGATTACCGGGAGATTTTCACTCATTTGCGGGTATCCGGGAGACTCCCGAAACTTCCCGCCCTACTCATAATTCTCTCTTTATAAAGCCGTATGGCGAGGCAGTGGCGCAGTAGGTAGTGCTGTCGCCTCACAGCATGAAGGTCGCTGGTTCGAACCTCGGCTCAGTTGACCTTTCTGTGTGGAGTTTGCATGTTCTCCCTGCGTTCGCGTGGGTTTCCACAAAAAACAGGTGAATTGGGTAGGCTAAATTGTCCGTAGTGTATGAGTGTGTGTGTAAATGTGTGTTTGGATGTTTCCCAGAGATGGGTTGCGGCCGAAAGGGCATCCGCTGAGTAAAAATTTGCTGAATAAGTTGGCGGTTCATTCCGCTGTGGCGACCCCGGATTAATAAAGGGACTAAGCCGACAAGAAAATGTATGAATGAATAAAGCCGTATGCCTATTACATATCCATAAAACACTGTGATATAACCGCGCTCGGATCGTATCGCTTTCTCACTGCAATCGATCCACTCCAGAGTTCGTTACAATCGAGCCGAGACCACCTCATTCAAGCGATCTTGGAGCGATTGATTTGGCGGGGATCCTAGCACGGTTGCTGGTTTCACATATGCCAAACAAACTGCGCTGACTGGGCAAACGAGAACTTAACTGAATGATATTAAAGTGATGTTTTCACCGTTTCTGTACTTTGAAATCGTGGCAACAGCTGGAAGTCTGTAGTCCACAGCATGTTGATGTTACAGTGCTGTTCCTATACTCACGGCTTTCTTCCCACCGCAGCCTTACTTTCATTTTTAAAATAGCATCCACCTGAAATAAGCGTACAGGTACCGGTTTCTAACATTCTTAAATATAACTTCTTTTGAGATCGACAGATGAAAGAAAAACATACAGTAAATGTTCATAAGTATTTGGAGAGTAATTACCGAGTAAATTTTTACTTTTTGGTGAACTGTCCCTTTAAAAAAATGACTTTTAAAATGCCTTTCAATTTATATATATATATATATATATATATATATATATATATATATATATATACATTTGTTACTCTGAATGTCATTTAATTTTTTGTTTTAAGTATTACACTTGTAATACATTGTTTTAGCGAATGATCATTTAAATAAATATTGGAATTTTATTTTCACAAATCTCCAAATAATTTTGAAGTGAAATATGGCTATGACATCTCTATATATAGTGTATCCCTAAATCAATACCTTTGTGACTCTATGAGAACAATCTATGGAATAACACACTCATCTGTCTAACAGTATGTCAATTCATAGTCTATTTGTTTCCAGTTTTGCCTATGAATAATTATCGCTCTCTCTCTCAAAGCCATCCGTGGCTTCTCTCCACAGCACAAGATCACCAGTTTCGAGGAAGCGAAGGGTCTGGACCGCATAAACGAGCGCATGCCTCCTCGCCGGGACGTGGTCAACAGCGTGGGCCTGTCGATGGGCAAGATGAACATGGCCGAATCAAACGGCACGGATGACAACAGCAATATCCAGTGATCGATTCCCTCCCCATATCCCTTCGCTCGCCCCATTGCTCCTTCTCCAAATCATGCATTTCTCCCCTCTATCCCCTCATTTTCACTGCTACCGTCTATGTAGCAGATGGATTATGTGATATATTTTAGACCGAACTCCCTGCTTGACGTTCAGCGGCCTCAACAACACCCAAGAAGGCCACGCGGGAAGGAGATCATGCTCGACTTTTGCATGACGGGACGTGTAGTTTTACGGATATGGGGCTATGTACACGGAGAAGAGGGCATTTCCTGTTCCTTTGTCAGAAGAGATGTTTATTTATGCGTGTTTGCACTTCCGCGTGCGTGTCTGTGTGTGTGCGTGTGCGCGTATGTGATATATAATTATATGACGATAAGTAGGTTTTCACAAATGCTTATTTCGTTTAATTTTTTGGTTCGTTTGTTTTTTGGCCTGCTGTGGAACGTGAAACACAAAGCTGACGCTCTATTTATTTAAAAAAAAAAAAAGCGTAAGAGAAGCGTATGTTTGCATTTGTTTGTGCGCGAGGAGCTTATAATCGTTACTTTTACACTTCTATGTTTTGCTACTAGTAATCACTACTATATCTACGGAATAATTAATAACTACACGAAATAACTTAACCCAGGAGAGATTTGGAGTCGGCGCGAAGCCCCTCATGCTGTGTGCTTGTTGTACGAATCTAACGTTGTCAATTCGTGACTCTACAGCGCCCCCTGTGGTGATCCAAGAGAAGCGTTCAGTCAGCTGTATGTGTGCGCATGTGTGAATGTGAGAGAAACAGTCAGGTGATTTGATCTGAGGGGTAGCGTCGGGCCGTGGTGGGTGGTTTCAAACAGGTACTTGTGCACTAGTAAGAACGGATTTCCGGCTGCGCATAATTCATGGGAGTTTATTTTGTATATAAATGGCGTATATTTTTAAGGAACGTTTTTGTTATCGCTTATTTTCACGTTCTTTTTATTTTGTATTAAAGCTATTAATTTATTGTTTGTTCGTTTTATTTTATTTCGTTCGTTTACATCGCTGTACAGTTAATTAAGCTCCAATGAGGTGTTTGTTTATCGATGTACAGAAGTTATCCAGTAGTGTGAAGGAACATATAATTCTGTGAAAAAGACATCCGGGCTGCCTAAAGCATGACTGCATGGTTATTTCAAATGTAAAAATACGAATATGGACACACCTTAACGTGTCTCACATTTTTAAGGAGAAGTATATATTCCGATCATTATTCTAAACAATATTCTGGTTATTTATGATTATGATTATTCTTATGATTATTATTAAGAGTTCTGCTGGTTTATTCCACACTTTGCCTCATTCTCGTTTCGGTTGCTCATTGTGCTTTACTTTATGAATAATGGAAAAACGTTCATGAGTTATTTGTGATTCTATATCTTGTATTTTTCTCTGGAGCTTCATTCTGAGCATCATGATTTCCTGACCTACAGTACGGACAGTGTGAGCATGCCCTATGGGACAAATCTCTTTTTTTACTCTTGAATAAAATATGCATGAACCTTTTGTATTTTTCTCTTTTATACAACTTGCATTTCCACACGTACTACATTTTTTTGACTACAAGCACTAAATCGTTCAATAAATTAGCATGCTGTTCCATTACAATAAAATTAAACAATCAAATCAAATATTCATGAATTTCATGAAAACGTGTCCAAGGCACTGCATTTAAAAATATATATTTATACATGTAGCTAAAAATTTGCGATTTGATAGACACATAAAATGTGTTCGGGCTAAGCACAGACACCTGCATACACACCTATTGCTTTTTCTTTTTCCGCTGTTGAAGTTTGTGCCATCCCTATAGAGCAGTGGTTCTCAAACTGTGGTACGTGTACCACTAGTGGTACGCGGGCTTCCTTCTAGTGGTACACGGAGGAATGCAATATGGCATGTACATGCTACATATATTTCAAAATTTATCAAAAATGATGTATATAGTATGTCATATATGACATATAGCTTATATTTCTGAGGTCATTTGCCACATTTTTTAACTGTGCAGAGTTGTAGCTGCTTTACTGGGCCTACTACACTACTGTATTTCAATACTGCTCATTTTGGTGATACTTGGAGAGACAATTTTTTTCTGAGGTGGTACTTAATGAAAAAAATTTGAGAACCACTGCTATAGAGGAATTAGCAACCTACGTCACACGTGACGTCACATGGGTTCCCGGTTGCAAAAAGAGACCGGTTGCAATAGCAAATGTGTCGTGTTGTGCGGTAGGATGCCAAAATCGAAAGTCCAAAAATAGAAAACTTAACTTTTACCGTATACCACACTGCTTTTAATGCCAACCGCAGACGTCTTTGGCTAAAAGGTAGCTAAATGGAGTGAGGACCTAATTAAAAATGCTCGACTCTGCAGTTCTCATTTTATATCAGGTAAGTTCATGCTATGCAGAATCATTCACATTGTTCGTTTTTGATTGCAGCAATGATTTCAGCAAAAACAGTTAAATATGGTTAATTATACTACAGACACTGAATGCTGAGAATGAAACGTGAAAGTGTAAGTTTACATACCCTGCCGTACAGGTGCAGTTTGCTGTCAGAATGCAGTTGTTTTGCTTGTTGATGATTACCCAGGCCTTGTACAGCTCTGTCTTCTATCCTTGTCTTTGGCTAGGCAGATCCTCGGTCTTTAGCACTACATAGTTTTAAATCTGGTAACCATGGAACAATATATCTTGCACATGACCACACAGAACAACATTGTTGCCATCCAAAGACTTGTAGGCTTTTGACTTCTAAAACTCTTGTACAATCACGGAGTTTCAATGAGATAGTTTTATATTTTGGGTTGGATGCTTGGCCATTTCGTTGGGAGGGTGCTATCACAAATGGACATGTCAGAGAAAAGCCGCTCACTTTAACATTGATTTTGCAGAATAACTGTGCTATCTGTGTTATCACTAGGTGGCAAGATATTTTAATACGCTGAAAGCATTATGTAAATTCTATATATATATATATATATATATATATATATATATATATATATATATGTAATCAATATAACCTATTTCTAAGACAACAACAAACTCTGTACCTCATCGGATGTCAATCCCTCGCTGTAAATCTTTCTGCGACCTTGCTGCGCGCACATCCTAAACGTTTACCAACATGGTATTTTGTCTATAGAGCCATGTGGTAAAACGTATCCCAGATAGCGTACAAATTTGGCCCTGGTGGTCTTCTTTCAGCCCAGACAAAATGAATGTTAGCCTGAAGTGGCCCACCTGTACAATGGCAAAAGGGGGCCACAGATTCCCATTCACATTGGCCATTTAAGGCAAAGATTGTAATATTAGTCTGAACCTGTGGTCCATTGGGAAAATGGTAAATTTAGCCCAAATGACAAAGAACAAATGTGTCCGTGTTTTTCAGTGCCCTTATATTCTCTCTCCCCAAGAAGATATAAAGCATACACTGAAATGATGAAGAGTAGGCATACAGGTCCTGTGAAATTAAAATAAAGCTTTTAAGATGTTAGTTATCAGTATGTTATATTTTTAAGTAAATCTATAAGTGGTAACACTTTATTTTGATGGTCCATTTGAGTATTTAGACTGTCTGCTTTATATCTGCTGATACAGCTGCTAAACAGACATTTAACTGACATGTCAGTTTAAGTTGACATGAAAGTACATCAACTTACATTAACCCTATAACCCCAATCTAACAATGTACTTATAAACTAAAGTTGACATGTTGATGCAATGTAACTCAACAAACGGACCATAAAAATAAAGTGTGAGCCAATAAGCTAGTGTACATGGAAAAATGAAGTGAAAAAAAAAACATAATAAGATTTTTTTTTTTACAACATTTCAGTATATAGAAATATATTAATGCTACATTTGGATGTCATTCAACTCTGCGCAAAACATCTAAACTCACGTCAGCTGCTTTCTGTTCCTTTTGAAAAATAGATTTTGCTGACAGACACTGATTTCATATGATTGACAACAACCCTATTATATAAAAAAACTTATGTAAGAATTTGGTATAAAAGATAGGCTACATTTTAATAAGGTTAGGAAAATATCCTTTATTTTTAAGTCCTATGTATGTATATAAAAGAGAAAGGAAATTAAATCAAAACTCAAAACCCTTTGACCGCATTTAACTTCCTTCCTCATTTAAAGAGCACATTATGCATTAGTTATGTATTTTTATGGCAAAAATTATCTGTGAAGGTAGAAGATTTGCATTGATTTGTGAATGAAAGCACCCAAACAGATATTTCTGTTAGCGTACTGAAAGTGAAACAATGTTGCCCGACAAGGTGTTTCAGAAAAAAAGAGAGCGAGGGAGAGAGAGAGAGGAAACAAGACTACGGTCGGCTGAAGCAGATCGAGTACACGATACCAGAATAAACCACGCCGTGTCAAAGCTAATTCAAGGTAAGATTAATTGAGTTATTTCTTAATAAGCCTTTTTATTATTTTAATGTGTCTTAGTAAACCGTGAATAATATCCGTAAATTAGCGGGGAGGTTTTGGGGTATTTTGTGATACTGTTTATTTATGCATTTGAATATAATACCTTGATCATTCTTATAAAAACATTTAACCTTGAAAAAAAAAATATATATTAAAATTTTTAATAGTATACAGTGATACTTTGTCTGAGTTGGTGTTGCATGTTACGGTACAAACACCTTGTAGTAACTGCCAGTAAATTTTCTTTTATTTTACTGTATTTCTATATTATGTAATATACAGTTGAAGTCAGAATTATTAGCCCCCCTGAATTATTAGCAACCCTGTTTATTTTTTCAACACATTTCTGAACATAATAGTTTTAATAACTCATCTCTAATAACTGATTTCTTTTATCTTTGCCATGATGACAGTAAATAATATTTTACAAGATATTTTTCAAGACACTTCTATACAGCTTAAAGTGACATTTAAAGCTTAACAAAGTTAATTAGGGTAACGAGGCAGGATAGGGTAATTAGGCAAGATATTGTAAAACGATGATTTGTTCTGCAGACTATCAGGAAAAGAGCTTAAAGGGGCTAATAATTGTGTCCTTAAAACGGCTTTTAAAAAAATAAAAATTACTTTTATTCTATAGCCGAAGTTAAACAAATAAGATTTTTTTGCAAAAGAAAAAATATTATCAGACATACTGTGAAAATTACCTTGGTCTGTTAAACGTCATTTGAGAAATATTTAAAAAAGAAAATAAAAATCAAAGGGGGCTAATAATTCTGACTTCAACTGTACATTATATTAATGTCAAGAAAAGTCATTTTGTTAAACTGTAGAGTTGAAATTTCAACATCAAAAGCAGATATTTCTTTTGCTGATATGTATAATAGACAGTTTGGACTTCCGCCAGACGTCTTAAATGTTAGTAAAACAAAACCGTAAATAAACGGAAAACACAAAAAAATTTAAAATGACAAAATATAGGGAAACTGTTAATTATTAAATATAACATTAATAATGATTGTTTGAATGTTACCTAATAGTTATGTGCAAACCAATAATTTTAATTACATTTACCCATCTTAAAAAAAAATAAATGAATAGATGCTACAGGAAAAAATAAATGTAAATTTATAAAGTTTGTTAAAATGTGTTGGCTGTTATTTATAAAAATATTCACAGTACAATATTTTGTATTTAGTACATTTATTTTTCATTTATGTTAATTTGTTAAAGTAAGTTATCTTTAGTAGAAAGTGTTGTTCTTGTATAAGACACAAATGTGTATGATTAAAAATATTTTATTGATAAGTCTAAAAAAAGGGATGCATTCCTAATTTGTAAATGTTTTCGATTTGAAACTAATTCTAACAGATTTATTTGATAAGATAATATCAAGAGTATGATCAGTGATGTTTTATCTTTATATGGGTTACATCATGCAATTTGGTTGAGTTATAAATAAATCAGCAGGTGCTTTGAGCCTCTCATATCTGTTCTCTCACTTTTGGTTTGCTTTCTGAGTAGGTTAAGCTCTTTGACCTTCAATCATTTCAGGTGAAATGCAAAGAGCTTCATTAAAATGCATTCACATATCCAAATGATGCCTTAGAGGTAGAACAAGGAGTGGCATTCAATACTGTAAAACCTGTGATTCCGGTAAATCCTCTTATATGTGCGCAATCTCATGCACAGCTGTAATGCAGCACTCTAAGACAAAAACAGGAACTAATTCAGAATAGATAATTAGCTATTTCATTTAAACTTTTGTGGGATTTAAATACATATTAGTGTTTTAATGTTAATATATGTAAATAAATATTAAAATGTGCTAACCTCACCTCCAGTGAAATTTAAATGTTTTTAGATTTCTAAACAAACAAGTTTTAATAACTCAATTCTAATATCAAATGTATCTTTGTCTTTGCCATGATGACAGTAAATAATACACCTGAATATACAGTTGAAATCAGAATTATTAAACCCCCTTTTAATTTGTTTTTCTTTTTTAATTATTTCCTAAATTACGTTTAACAAAGCAAGGACATTTTC